GCTCACATATCACCTTTTCCAAAAGGTCCTCCCTGACCATTTTATTTAAAATAGCCTGTCTCACATCCACTTTATATTACATGTCACTCAGAAATGTTTTATATTTGTAGGCTGTTTTCCCCAGTAGAATATAAGCTTGGGGCAAAGACTTTGTCTTTTCATTTCAAAATAGGATATATTTTCTACCATTCTTTCCATCCCTTTGCTATAACTGTAACCTAACTTCCCTCGCAACCCACTTGCCTCTTAATCCTTGATTCATGAGTTGAGTTTTGGGCATACTTACTATCTCCGACAAGCCACTGTTCAGTATCATCTTGGGATATCCTCATTTATTCCACATTCTTCCCATTATTGTACTCTGATAAATTTCCAGGACCCTATTTTTTTCTTCCTTGATGATTATAATTTCTTGCTCACAATCTTCTCTCTCCTCTCCTTCCTGATGTGATGGTACTTCTAACAACAGTGCTTTCTTTTGTTTTTCAGTTCTTACCTGTAGGTATCCACAGGTAAGGTCAGATGCTACAGTCATCACTGGGGCTTGTTCTGCCATTATCATGCGTTCTGAATTTCTGCTTTTGACTTAGGTATAATGTGCTTATATATGTTAGTGAGGTTCTGTAATTCAATCTCAAAGTTTTATGTGCTGCATCAGGATCAGCAGTAGAACTTTGCTAAAGCATGAATATAATTCGTCACACCCTCAGAGATTCTGATTTGGTAGGTGTGGTTTGCCCCTGAATTTGTATTTCGGTCACCGTCCTAGGTAATGCTGTGCCAGGTCTTTGAACCTGCATTTTCAGGCACGCTGCTCTAATTATACTCCCTCCCCTCCCACACCACCCCCTGGCCGTGGACAAGGATCAAAACCGAAAGTTTCTACTCTCCCTTCCATTCACATTCTTGCTTTCTTCACTTTCTATTGATGATTTCTAGGATTACTTTACTCAAGGAAGGGCATTCTAAAGAGGGTTTTCTCATATTTTCTCTTCCTAAAATGAGCATTTTTCTCTCTATTCTTTACATGTTCTTTTCTTCACTGCCATTCTCTTCTACCTTGTTCCTTTGTCTCATTTTCTCCTGTTGATTTTTGGCTCTTAATCAGTTAACATTTTTGCATCTTAGTTTAAAAGTTTCTCCTAAAGTAAATTGACTTTTTCCTTCACCCTCCAGATATGATCAAATAATCCCTTTCCCTCAAAATATTGTTCCATTTCTCTCTATTCCTGCTAAACTTTTTTGAAAGAAAACTAAATGGCTTAATTCCTTTGGTAGATGTATCTTGATTTCTTAAAAATCTGCTTTGGTTTTCCAAAGTTTTATTGGACAGCCCATTCACTGGTTATGTGACTCCAAGATCTTAAATGCAGACATCTCTGCCAGCCTGTGCAGTACTTTATATTAACTCTCCTTTACCCTTTAAAATTTCTCTTTCTTTGCTTTGTAGTCAATATGTTTTAGTTTTTGCTTTTCTGATTACTTCTATTTTCATTCACATTAATACCATTTAATCCTTCTATGCCTTTTCTTGAAGTATGGAATACTTTCCCTGCCATCTAAATCTGTGCTGATATGGGAGCCAGTAGCCACATGTCCCAAGTGCAGTATGGCCAGTTGAGAGATAATCTGTTCGTATATAATACATACTGGATTTTCAAGATGTAAGATGAAAAAGAGAATGTAAAATGTCTCACTAAATTTTTAAATATTGATTACGTGTTAATATTTTAGATATTTAGGCTTAAATAAAAAATATTGGTAAAATTAGTTTCACCTGTTTGTCTTTTTAAATACAGCTTTTACTCTGTGGCTTGGTTGTATTTCTGTTCAACAATGTTCATCTTTCCTTAAAAATCCTTCAGATCAGTTTTCCATGTAATACACATTTCTCTTCAGAATTACAGTACCAACCTTCTGGAACATTTATTCCCCACCCTATTCCACCTCCACCCCCTACCCTCCATAATATACTAAGCTTCTTTAGAACCAGGGTAATTCCCCATAGTGCCTTTCATATACTGGGATATAGAGATAAAAGAGATAGAAATATGAAAAAATGTATATAGATACAAACTCATATGAATAAAGGATTTGGCTAGCATTATCATTTTGTCAAAGAGGATATTTATAGTAGATGATGTCTGGTGAGGTTTTTGCTTAATCTGATAGGAAATATGAGGGCTTGATGTGATGGAGAGGTGAGACTTAACTCTGCTCTGAGATACTAAAAATCTAACGTATACTTACCCCAAGTATATTCAGTCACTCCAGGCCACACTGATGGTTCTGAACTGTGCTGTTGTGATTTTACTGACATCTGGTGTCAGGATTAGGAAACTGTAGTTCAGTCTTTTGTCTACTCCCGTGCCCTGCCTCCTGCTGGAGAAAAGGAGGCATTCTTTCCTCTGCATATGAGCCTGCATCTTCATCCCCTACATAAGTTATCAATAAGGACTCCTCTAATTTCATTGTAGGAAACCTTTATTTTCCTTCTTGGAGTCGGCTTTCCTTGGGTTCCCTGTTAACTTCCCAGTTTCCCTCATGTTTCTGTGGCTTTTCTGTTTCATTCTCAGCCCATTTCTCTCCCAATGTGGTAATTTTCTAGTCCTAGATTCTAGGCCCTACCTAAGGCTTTAAATAGAAAAAAATAAAATGTATTTATAGAAAAATTTATACTTATAGCCAAAAATCTCTTCTAATCTTGTCATTGGCATGTCATTGGTAGGCAGTTGCCTCCTAAGATGTTACATGAGCATCTTGAGATTAACATATTCAAGTCCAAATGTGGATCTCCTACCCTTCCCCAGTTTCTCAAATCCATTTTTTTTTCACTTCAGTAATTATCATGCCAGTATTCTGAGAATCATCTTGGCATCCCCTGTCTCTCACCTTCATTAGTCAGACATTCACTATGTTTTATTGAGTCTACAAAGATACATTCGTGGTGTGTTAAAGTGCTCCCTGCTCTGACCTTATCTAAGCTACCACTATCTTTTGTCTGCCTGAGTAAGCTCCTAATTCGTCTCCCTGCCTGTACTCTTGACTGCATTCACATGTTTTGTTTATTTATTTAAAAATTTTAAAAAACTTTTTTTTGAGAGATACAGAGCACGAGCAGGGGAGGGACAGAGATAGGGAGACACAGAATGTGAAGCAGGCTCTAGGCTCAGAGCTGTCAGTATGGAGGTGACACCAGGCTTGAACTCATGAACCATGAGATTTTGCCTGAGCCAAAGTCGGATGCTTTAGCCAACTGAGCCACCCAGGTGCCCCTATTTATATTTTTAAGTAGGCTTCACACCCAGCGTGGGGCTTGAACTCACAACGCTGTGATCGGTGCTTAACAACTGAGCCACACAAGTGCCCTGCCCCCTGTGTTTAGTTGTTTAATATCAGCCCCTCCTTCTAGCCTGAGAGTCCTGTGATGGGGGAGAGACAGCATGTATTTGGGTTAATTATTGGGTCCCCAGCACCTAGTATGGCTGCTAAGAGCTATGTAATACATAGATAGCCACTTGGCTTTCAGTGACGTTGATATGCCTCCTATTGTTTTGAATGTATTAGAATTTCTTGAATTCTTTGGCGGTAGTATTTTGTCAGTTCATTTATCATAAATGAGTTTTAGTTATTTTCTACTTTGGTCCAGAGAAACTCTATTGTATCTTTGAGGACCGTATATATTGGGTATTAATCTGCTAATGACAACTTTTGTATTAGGGACTGCTGATTAATATACTGAAATTTTCTTTTTTTAAATGTATGTTTATTTTGAGAGAGAGAGTGTGTGTGTGTGTGTGTGTGTGCACGCGAGCACCTATGCACAAGCAGGGGGAAGAGCAGAGATAATACCAAGCAGGCTCCATGCGGACAGTGACGTGGGGCTCAATCTCACAGACTGTGACATCATGACCTGAGCTGAAGTCAAAAGTTGGACGCTTCACTGACTGAGCCACCCAGGCACCTCCTGAAATTATTTTCTGAGCATTTGAAATTACATGCCAGTGGTTTATCTCTTAGCATTCTTCTGTCTGAAATACATTGGTCCTTAATTTTAATATGGAACTATACTGCTAAATCTTCAATTAAAACTTGTTTGACTCCAGGTGTTCCCTTAGAGGCCCAGGTCTTGATAGTTTTAATAATTTTGGTGTCCTTTGATATTTTAAAGTTGGTTTTGCTTTCTAAAGCTTTAGAATCCAGACTTAATTTCTGCTTTGAATTGGTGATATTGCTTAATAAGGAAATTTAATTTGTAAAAGTAGACGTGAGTTATTAAAAGCTGGTGATAGATGTAAGCAACGATCTTGTATGCTAAGAATGCAAACTCAAGAGAACAAGGACTTAATAGGTAAATACCAGGCTTTCTCAACCTTGGTATTACTAACATGGTGGGTCAGATAGTTTTTTGTTGTGAGGGTACGTATGAGACCTGTCCTGGGCATTGTAGGATTTTAGCGGCATCCCTGATCTCTACCCACAAGTGGCAATCTCTCCTCTCCAGCTGTGACAACAAAAATGTCTGTAGACATTGCCAAATTGGCATGAGGGAAGCAAAATCATAGCAATTGAAAACCAGTAATATAGACCGTACTGAGAAGGGGATCATAGTCCATTAAATGGCTCAGTTAGGAATCTTTGGCATTCTCTAGATGTCTTTGAGAACATGGTAGCTCTGTGGAATATTGCTAATGGCAAAAAAAAAAGTGGAGACTATAGGACTATGTTTTTCACAGTTTAAAATTTCTGTTTGCTTAGAATAAAGTAACTTTAGTCATTAACCTGGTTCTACCCCAAACTAAAGAAATATATGCATTCTAAATCACATTTTGCTGAAAAAGTTTCTGTTTGTGGACTGACATTAGAAGTTAGGTGGTGATTAACAAAAAAGGGGAGTGGAGAACCAAGACTACAGTAAAGATTAACTTGTAATCAGAGTTTTGCGATTTGTATTATGTATATAACTTACAGGATATAATTCTTTTATTTTCCCGCCAAAGGGACATGAGAGATGGCTTTAGAAGAAAAAGTATCTACCATTATGCAAGAGACCGATCTCCTCATAAAAGAGACACTGCTCTTTTCAGAGAATCATCTGTAGGTCGAAAGGATTCTCCACACAGCAGGTCTGGCTCCAGCGTCAGTAGTAGAAGCTACTCTCCAGAAAGAAGCAAAACGTACTCTTTCCATCAGTCTCAACATAGAAGTATGTATTTTTTTAAGAATTCTTTTACAACCCCCACTAAAGAGAATGTTCTGATTCAGATTGCCTTATAGGTATTGTAAGAGATAAATTTTTTTAGCCTTTTATTTTGAAAATTTTGAAACTTCTAGAAAGGTGGAAAAAATAGTGTAATAAATACCACACACATATTTTTGGAACCCTTTCAAATTGTGGTCCACATTGATATTTCACTTCTAATTCTTCAACACAGAAGATGTGTGTTTGTAATCATGTTGGAGAGTTATGCACTTTTGTATTTTCGGCTAGTTCCTGTGTTAATCCATTCTCCTCAGTCTTCTGTCAATAGATGATATCTGTCTCTAATTATCTGAATAGTATATTTTTCATGAAAAATCTCGGTGGTTTCTCCTAAATATAAGGTATAGCTTTATTTATAAATTTTAGAGCTATGTCCTACCTTAGGTTAATTTTTATTCCAACCTCCAGTTTGTATGTTTTATTTGGAGTACCTAGCCATGCATGGCATTCTGTGTAATCATAGAATGTCATTCTGGCTGAGTTGGTCGGTGTGTTGGACTAAATAAATGAAGCAGTTTATTTTTTGGATAATCTGTTTTATCTTTCTCTACTCCACTGCTTGCATTTGAGGTCATTTACAAACTTTTCCCCCTGCCTTCTAAATGCAAGGCACTGTGTTAGATGGAGGAATGTACCTGTCTCCAGGAACTAGAATATATTTCGGTGTTTCTCCCCCAGCTAATAACAATTTTATCAATATGTAAATATAACAGATATAAAATAAAACATTTTTAAGCTTTTCATTTCTTTATTTTGAGAGAGAGTGCATGAGTAGGGGTGGGGCAGAAAGAGAGGGAGAGAGAGAATCCCAAGAAAGCTCTGTTGTCAGCATGGAACCCAACATGGGGCTCGAATCCACGAACTGAGAATTTGACCTGAGCCGAAATCAAGAGTTGAACACTCAAGCAACTGAGCCACCCAGGCGCCCCTAAAATGTAACTTTGATAGAAGAATTGATATATCATAAATGAGTTAACTTGGCATGAGCGGGTCAAAGTGAGAGATATTCTCATTCTGGGGATTAAAAGAACATGTCATGGAGGAAATGATATTTGGACTCTTTTATTTCAGATTTCTACAAGTAAAAGTATCTTCTAAGTTGAAGGAATTACAAGTCGAGATACTGACACCAGAAAAGTCAAGGATATTTCTCTTTCTTTACTTTTTGTTTTAAGTTTCATTTATTTATTTTTTGAAAGACAGAAGTGAGTGGGGAAGGGGCAGAGAGAGAGAAGGAGAGAGAGAATTCCAAGCAGGCTCCCTAGTATCAGCACAGAGCCCAAAATGGGGCTGAAACCCACGAACTGTGAGATCATGAACTGAGCTAAAATCCAGAGTCAGATGTTCAACCTGCTGAGCCACCCAGGCACCTCTCTTTCTTTACTTTTTAACTGCCTTCCTATTAAATGTTTTTCCAAATAATAAGAGTTTAAGTTTCACAGCATTTGCTTCCTGCATGTTCAGAGTGATGGAAGGTCACTTCAAATCATTAGATTGTCTCCGTTGTAGCTGTTGTTGGATTCTTGTATTTAATGAACATTTATTAATTTTTACTGTTTTCAGAGCTAGGTAGAGTGGGTCTTCCAAAAAACATATTTTTGGATACTTGTGTATGAATGGTCATACAGGAGGTAAGAATGTCTTTTGAAGGATTTAAAACAAATATTGTAACTTAAATATCCCCACTTGGTTAAAATAAGCACATAGTTCCAGGTAACTGAAAGCTTTACTGTGGATTTTAGGGTCTATGGTTTGTTTTTTCTCCTTCATTTCATTTCCCTCTTTCCCACCCTCTCCCCCTTTATCAAGAGGATAAATAACGTCTGAGTTCTAATGCACGCTCATATCCACAGATATAATTATTAGCCAGACACCTTCTGAGAAGATGTTCTTTTTCTTTGGATGTGTATGACTTAAATCTAAATACAATGATTAAGAGGAAGAAAGTATCTTTGGAAACTGATTATGAAGGCTTTTGAACAAAACATGAGTAAAAAATTGAGATTCTTACTTGACAGTAAACCTAATTATTAGTGATTTTGTCTTTTTCTGTTCTAAAACATATTTTTAGGGAGGCATTTTCTGTCTGCTTTCAGCCTGGTAGCTAGTAGCTGAAAGTTTAAAATCTTGAGATGAAATGTAGGGAAGTCACATGTGATGCTCCTGTCTCAGGGTCTCCATATACTTTTCCCCCTCCTTTGAGGTCTAATTGTTTTACTATCTGGAGTGATGAAAAGATAACCGAGAAAGCTGGGAAACTAGAATATGGTGCAAATTGAGTGAAATAGAACATAAGACTTTGGTATGCCTTCATGTTTATATTATTAAGTCATTTAGCTTCAAAAGTTAAGTTCTTTAATCAAGAAAAATGTTTGTTCTGGGAAAACTGTCTTTACAAGTTACTTGGGTTGTAACTATTTGGGCTGAGCTATTAAAATGTTTTTCTATACTCCTTTCATGTAAATAGCTTTTAGAATGGTTCCATAAAATCATCTTGCAAAAAGTTAATGGAGAAGTCTTATTTTAAACATTAAATAGAAAAAGTTATTGTTATGTTACACATTTCTGAGCATCAATTCTTGCTTTGAATCTAAATGTCACAGATGGTGATAGTACCTTGCTTTTCTTCAAAAAAGGACTGCTAAACAGGGTCCTTAAATTATCAGTCATTTAAACTGGGTTAATTAGTAACAATGTGTTAATTTGTTTTTTAATGTAAAGTAAAATTCTTAATGTTTCTATAAATAACAAGTAAAATTTTCATACTCTCCTAATGTCCTTATTTTGCTAACTTTAACTTTTAATTTTTTGCTTTTTATTTATACTTTTCAGAGTAATTTTAATTTAATAATCACTAGTAGTTTGGCTGTGGTAACCACTTAAGGACTAATTCTTCATGATTCTTCTGTGCACTTAATATATCTCTTACATGATTAATTATAAGCCACAGAGTGGTTTTTACTACTTTTTTTTTAACCTCAACTACTTATTTCCCATTTTGTGCTTATACTCATATACATGTCTTCATATGTGTTTGATTAAATTTCTTCTACTTAGCCTTTGAGTTAATCTGTAAACCTTGTACTGCTTTATAGACTAATTATCCTCCTAAATCAAAACATTTTTTTAATTATGTGCTTTCTATATAAGAATTTTCTGCCTATAACTTAATTGGATTAACCTGTTCATAGCTGTCACTATAATAAAAAAGGAACTATCTGTTCCTTTTTTGTTATCCATATTTACATGCTAAATGTAGGTTGTCCTAGTTAATCTCATCGCCTTTCCCTTTGTTCATTATGATACTATTGTAGTTAAAATTGTTGTATGTATCCTGTATATTTTTACTTGAAGTTTATTTTTATTCCTATTAATCTAACCAGATATCTCCCCTTTTGTCAACTCTCAGATGTTTATTTCATTTTTCTCCTTTTTCTCAGTTGAATCCCATTGTTCTCCTATTTTACTCTTCTGTTTAGAATAATTATTTAATGTTAATAGTGATACCAGAAATCACTCAGTTCAGTTTCTCATCCTCATTCTTTATTAAAATAATTCCTGTGATAAATTTACTATATCACAGGCTAGTACGTCCATCTTTGTATAGTTCATTTTTTATAAAACAAAACTTGTAACATCTGTGCAATACTAGTTATTTGTCCTAGAGCCATAAAAATGTTTCTTCTTATGTTGTAACCTTTTATTTATTTGAAGAGTACTATCATAATCTTCTTGGTTTTTTTTTTTTTTTTTCTCCCACAGGTTCAAGTATATTTAGTTCCTTCAACTTTTATTTGACATGCTTTCAGAACTTTGGTTTCCTAATTTTCTTTCTTTTCCTTTTAAGTTGTGGTGCCAGAAGTGAACTTTTATTTTGTCAACTGGACTGTATTACTGGCCTTTATTGAGACTGTAGGCAATTGAAACCTAAGCCATTTTCACATATATTACTATTTAACAAATGCCCTTCAGCCTATACTTTTTTAAATGTAGTTTATCCATTAAAAGAAATCTAGGAATGCTAAATTTCATCTAATTAACTTCGGCTTATTATTTTCTTCTATAGAGGTCTTAAATCTCAGTGATTCTATATATTTGCAGCAGATAAAAATAGTTTCATCAGCAAAGGAAATATCCTTTGGGTTTTCTGTTAGTCGTTAATAATTATGTTGAGAAGCATATAGCCACATTTAGAAACCTCTAGAGACCTGTCTGTGGATGTCAACCATTTTTCTGCATTTTTTAACTAATTGTGATCCTCTATCTTGTCTTCCTTTTCTCTTGAGGATTTCATGGAAGACTTTATCAGTTGCTTTTTAAAAACTCAAGTTAGAATGAGTTTCCTGTATCAAAACAGGAACATAAAGATTATCTTGTTTTGTAAATCCATTGTGGCTCAAGGGATGATTATTTAAATACATAGAAACTATGTCTTTGTTAATTTGTTCTAAACATTTGCCTGTAGATTAATGTCAGATTTACCACTGGTGCTTGTACATTAATTAGGTTGTGTGACGTTTTGGTAGAATTTTTAAAATACCATTACCGTGGAAGATTTGCAAGCTTATTATTTTGTTGGTCTGTATCTGTTTTTTTTATAGTTCTGACTTTGGGCCCAGCATCCCTTTATTTTCTTGATATCAGCATCTGTTACTTAGAATAGAAGACTTATTTCATTTCATTTTATTTATTTAAAATTTATTTATTTTGAGAGAGAGAGAGAAGCGCACACGAGTAGAGGAGGGGCAGAGAGAGAGTGAGAGAGAGAAAATCCCATGCAGACTCAGCACTATCAGCACAGAGCCTGAGCCAAGCTTGAACCCACAAATCATGAGGTCGTGACCTGAGTTGAAATCAAGAGTCAGATGCCTAACTAACTGAGCCTACAAGGTGCATCTAGAAGATCATTTTAAAGACCATCATTCATCAGCGTTCAATCCTTTTTGAAGGCGCATCTTCTAAGATGACTAAAAATGTACAAGAATTACAAAATACTATTTTGAGAAGAGTATATTTGAAAGGTAGACTCCGTTATTGAACTTCAACGTAATGAGAAAAGAGACCTGTCATAAGACCTTTGGCTGTGAATATATTTGGAAGTCCACATGGCCCTTTGGATTATAGCTGAAATTCCAGTAAATTGAAAGGTTTAATTCTACCTTTAAAAAGAAGTCTTCTTTGGTCCAGACTTAGAGTGGTGATGGTAATAGAAATTAGATCATGTATATTTTAGGCAATAGGAAATTGTGTTTGTTTTAGGCAGTAGGAAGAGAGGACAAACCCGTTCTCTTGGCAGCTGAATATCATAACATTTTGTGGTTTGAAAGTCACTGTGTTTGTGTTCAATACTCTTATAGTTTTTTATTCGTCAAAGATATATTTCACATAAATGGTTTTCCACGCAAGATCGATCCAGTCTTTGCCCTCTGAGTTAACGAGCTGGTAATGGAGACAAACCAGACATTCCATAGGAATAGACATTTTAGGTAATGTCTGAAGGGTGAGTAAAAATTGGTGGAAGGAGGGAAATGGAGGAGGATATTTTGGATGAGTTGTATCATATGAGGAGATCCTGAACTATAATTTAGTATTTTCTTAAAAGATCTTGGACTTTGATCGAATTTATTAGTGTGCTGTTGAATTCGATTCTACAATATATTGTTCTTGTTTGAGAATCTATTATTTACTCATGAGAGCTTTGGCTATAAGTTTCCTGGGTGAATCCTAGGAATACAGTTATAGCTTTCCTGGTATCAGAATGATTAAGGTTCCAAGAGTAATCAATTAATGATGTTCCCATATGTGTAGGCATTTATAGCATCTCTGTTTAGGGACTTAGTACATTTTGTCAGTGGCACACATTCAGAATATGTACAGTTAGATAATGTTTTATTTATATTTTTAAGAGCAAGCCCATGTGGTTTTAGCTGATGTATCAAAAGGAGAGGTCTGTTCAGAAGTGCATTTCCAAATATCTGTAGTTAGTGCACCTTTACTTGTTACATCTCTTAAACTTTTAAAGATGATTGTTTTGGGGAAGCAGAGGTGGCATAAGCTTTCCCTACCCCTTTATCTGGTTTCTTTCTGTCTGTCGTTTTTTTGGTGTCTATCACAGGAGCATCTCTTTTGTGTCCTTTCCATTTTCTCTTTCATACCTTCTTGACCAATAATTTCTCTGGGAAATCATGTTCTTCCCAACTAAGAGCACCAAATTGACATATCGTCCTTGATCCAGAAAAGTAAATCCTTTCCTTAGCATCTGTGTAGCCACCACATCTTCATTTGTTCATATCTGAATTTCTCTTTGACAGCTTCAGCTATCAAAGAAGATGTGAATGTCCTATCTGTGCTGTGAAGTTTGCTTACTGATAAGACTTTCATTCATAAGTACCTGTTTTGTTCCTGTATGTTAGGCACTGTACCAAGAATTGAAAGATTGCAAGACGTGGTCCCTAACTTTATCATCTCTAAAGATGATTTTAATATTTTTTCCCAGCAGTGTTCTTTGTTCTTACATGGGTTATCAATAAGTAATAATACTCGATAGGCTTGGATGAGTCTAGTTCTTTTCATCATTGTTCTCATCAGGAAAACAAGTATTTTCCAGAAGAAGGTATATTTCTGATGTTTTATTTTGTTCAAAGAGTCATCAGATATTGTTGATACTCACATCAGCTGTTCTATTCAAAGAGTCACCGAATACTGGTAAATCTTATAATACTTTTAAATGTTTGTTGACACATTAAGTTGCTTCTCTGTGGACAGAACTTTTTACCTGATCTATGGAAACTGTGTTCCTCGTCATCTTCCTCCTTATTTATTCTTTTACTTACCAGTACATTGATGTGGATTTCAGTTTTCATACTGCTGCCTTCAGAATTTTCCTTTCCTGGTTTCTTTCTTTTATCCTAATTTGGAGTTCATTTTCTTTATCATGTTACAGCAAAGGTGTTGAGTCTTTTTGCCCTGCTCTCAAGCAGGGAGTTAGTGTCTCCTTAATAAGATCACATGTGAGGTGAATTCGAAGTAAAGGCCAATAACTAAGAGGTAGCATCTTATTAAAAGTATAAAGGTATGAGTGAAAGAAGTGGATTTGAGAGTCAAAGTCATTTGTATTCATAGTGTCGGTTGGAGCCATGTAAGAGTAGTAAGCAAAAACAAAGTTAGGAGGAATAGTCCCATTTAGGAGATAATAACCAACAAAGAAACAAGAGAAAGATGTAGTTAGTAACATGTAGGAGGACAAACACAGAAGTACAAAGGCATGAAAACCAAATGGCAAAATATTTTTTAAAAAAATTTTTATGTTTAGTTTTTTAAAATTATTTATTTTTAATGTTCATTTTTGAGAGACAGACAGAACACGAACAGGGGAAGGGCAAGGAGAGAGCGGGAGACACAGACTCAAAAGCAGGCTCTAGGCTCCAGTTGTCAGCACAGGGCCTGACCCAGGGCTCAAACTCATGAAGTGGGATATCATAACCTGAACCGAAGTTGGTTGCTTAACCTACTGAACCACCCAGGGGCCCTTAGTTGTTTGTTTTTTTAAAGTAATCTGTGCCGTATTTGGGACTCAAACCCCAAACCCCAAGATCAAGAGTCATAGGCTCTACCTAGTGAGCCTGCCAGGTGCCCTAAGAAAAACTTGTTTTTAAATCATTAAAATGACTGTAATAGAGAACAAGACCAGAAAACGTTAGTTTTACTATAAACAGCTCATTGAAAAAACTCTAAAATGAAAAGTTGAAGCATAGTAAGTTTGTTTCCATTATCTCTTGTGTTAAAAAGCAAAAGCCTGTAAAACTTAGGTTAATACAAGCACTTATTTATGAATCTGCAATTTGAGCTGGGTTCAGCTAGGTGGTTTTATTGGTCTGTTAGGATATTATTAAATAGCCCAAGCCTGTTTTTATGGATAGGAATGTGTAGTTAAATGTGGTGATTCCTACCATATCTTTGAAATTTGGTATCGAAATCAGTACACACAGCAGCTGTGGTGTGTTGATAAACTGACTCTTCAGTTGAACAGCACATGATTTGTGGAATTTGCCATGGAATGAATACTACCATCATGAGTGATTTCAGGCTGCTGATGTGGAGTCCCTGAACTTGGAGTTTGGAAGAGATGCAGACAAGGCATGCTCATCAGCTAATATGAACCATCCCTAGACTCCAGACACTTGTAAATTGTCAATGTTCTCATCTCTTGACCTACAAAGAATTTGAAGCAAGTTAACAAAATAAACATTTAATAAAAAATGATTCATTGAATGGTGAAGAATTTTCTGCAAAAGAGAAATAAACATGTGAAACTAAAAGAATAAATACCAGTGTAAAGGCGCTGAGCAGTTGTAGTTCAATAAGGATTTAGCTAAAACAAAGAGGAGAACTGTTCAGTAATAGTGTTCACAATGTACTTAAGGAAAAAAAATAGATCAGCTGCTGAGGAAGAACAAAAATTGTCCTGATGACAGATCAGTGAACACAAGGAGAAGGGTATTGCATCTTTTAACAACATTCTTGTAGAAGTAGGATGACATGTTTGCATATTTTTTAAAATACATTTTTTTAAGTTTATTTTGAGAGTGAGAAAGCACACGTGCACAGGACAGAGAGAGGGAGAGAGAGAATCCCAGCCAGGTTCCACACTGTCAGTGCAGAGCCCAGCGTGGGGCTTGTACTCATGAAACTTGAGATTATGACCTGAGCTGAAATCAGGAGTCCAACACTCAACTGACTGGGCCATCCAGGCACCCCCTTAAAATATTTTTTTAATGCAAGGTGCTAACTGTGCCAGAAAAGAATAAAATTGGCAATTTGAGATCTGTACTAGAAACTTTTGAAGTAAATGTTAAGGCGTTTGCATCTTATTGGAAAGATACCTGGGAGCTATTATTAGCGTATTTAGGCTACTTAAAAACTTAATTACATCTGCCTCATTAAGTGATTTGAGGGTAAGGAAGCTAACAATATTTACAAGATTCTAAATAGGGGACAATTAGGGCTCTAGCAAGACAGTGGTTGTGGATTTGTTTATAAAGAAAATCCATATATGAGAAAGTTTGTATGAAAAGAAGTTGCAAGATTTAGTAACGGGCTACTTTTGAGAGCAAGTCAGAATGACCTTTGCAGATAGTTACTATAAGCCCAGGTAACTGATAAGATATACCATGGAAACTTTACCAGTATCCTTTTTGATTTCTAGTGATGATTCATCTTTCTCTCTGGATTTTGTGTGTGTGTGTGTGTGTGTGTGAGAGAGAGATTAACCAGTCCTTTTCGAACTTTATGAAGATTAGAATAGGTGCTGAGTAAGACCTGATCCTTGTCCTCAACTTTAGGTGTCTTATCACACGACCCTTTTCTCATTCTTTTTGCTCATGCTATCGTTGGTTAGCCCAGTCTTAACACTTTCATTGTTGTTGTACCCAATTAGCTTCTGATCTTAAAAACAGATATTTTCTCATATTTCGTTATTACTCTTCAGTAATTGGTTGCTCAGGCAGCCCAATTTGAAGGCAGGGTAGGAAAGAGTTCAGGGTCACCAGCAAATACTCAGAAGTTTCTGTTCTGATCACTCTGACTTCTGGGTTCTTCTCTTGTCCCTCCTGGGCACAGAGGTGCTGGTGTTAATTCCTCCTTGCCCACCTTTCCCTAGAGTCCATCCGTGCTGGTGCCTCCTACAAACGGCAGAATGAAGGAAATCCAGAAAGAGGTGAGTTTTGAGCTAGATTTTGATTTGGGATTGTGAAGGGGTGGGGGACTTGAATTGACAGAGGTTACAGAAATGGGAAAGTACGTAACTGCTCCATTAGTCTTTAGTTGGAAACAGTTAAAATTTTTTTTAATGTCTATTTTTGAAAAAGAGGTGAGCAGGGGAGGGACAGAGAGAGAGGGAGACACAGGACCTGAAGCAGGTTCTAGGCTCTGGCAGCACAGAGCCTAACATGGGGCTCTCATGAACTGTGAGATCATGACCTGAGCTGAAGTCAGATGCTTAACCGACTGAGCCACCCAGGTGCCCTCAGAATTTAGTAGAAGTAGATACAGGTAGTAGGATATGGAGGGTGTTTGTGAGCTGGATGTCTGGGCTAGCCATTCCTGGTCAGGAATAGCCACCTCAAAGGAGATAGAGATCTGTAGAATAAACAAGTTAATGACGGATAGGACCTGACAACAGTAGAATCAGAGGATTTCTTTTTACCTTTTCAGTGCTCTTTCTGCTCTTTCCCTTATAGCATCCTTTTTCTTTATCCTTTGCTTCTTGCCTGTCCCTGCCCTTCATGCAACAGGTATAATATGAATAGATGTGGAGGTATGATCTACCACTTGCTCTGCCCTTCAGTGTTCCTTTGCTTCTGCACACTGATATTGGTTGAAATCTGCTTAAATTAGCCCTTATGCAGCTAAAATCAGGGAAGATCTAGTACCAAGTGTATTTGGTACTGTAGTTGACATACCTGCAGTGCTGATGTCATGTTTGTTAAGATTTTGCTAAAAGATTATTTAGCAAATAATCTTGTTTGTTCTGTGTCTAGCTGGCTTTGTGTCAGAATTGAGCTGATATATATGCCTTTAATTAGCATAGTTTGATGTGTTGATTGGTGGAGCTCCTCAACTTCTTTCAAGGAATTGCTTATCTGAGTAGAATGGGGAGGTCACTGTATCCTAAGGGTGGAAAAATAATTTATCTTTTCACCAAATTTTTGAGTACTTACTCTTTTCTTAAAGGATTTGAACTAGGTAGGCCCTGGGTATTCAGAAATAAGCTATGATACTTGGAGCTTTTGGTACAATGGAATAGACCGACACTGTCACGATATGATGTGGAATTTGCCATATGCAATGGAGATACAATAGAAAATGACTAAATAAACCACGTTCTTAATCATTTTGGGATGTAGTGATAGTATCTTTTGATTTTTTTTTAAGTGACTTAGTGTGAAAGCTTCTTAATACCACAAGTTAAAAGATTCTAGGGTTATGTCTTTTATAAGACTTTTGGAGTCTCAGAATACTGTGCTTAAAGCAGGAGTTCTCATCCCTGGTACTGTTGACATTTGAGGTTAGATAATTTCTTTGTTGGGAGATGTTGTTCTATGCATTTGTAGGGTGTTCTAGCAATACCCCAAGCCTCTACTTACTGTATGGCAATGGCACTCTCCCACTTGTGACAGTAAAACATTACCAGATGTCCCTGGGGAGACATCTCACCTGGGGAGGTGAGAGAAGTGTCTGCAGAAAGGCTTTCTAGGTCTGCAGCATATTGCAGAGGGATGTTATTCACTATTGCCCTTGAGCCTCTAGGCTCCTACTTAGCAATCTTGACCGTGGCAGAAGAGCTTAAGAGGCTTTGTGACTGAAGCTGGCTTTGCCTCAGTTTCAAGGTCATTTTGTCTCTGCTTTTGCTCTTGACTGCTTTCTTGGCTCTAACCTACTGTCTAGTCTTGACCAGCTTCCGTGTCACTCCAAACTTGGTGCCACCTTCTCCTTTTCTCTGCAACTTAATTTTGTCAGTTTTCTTAGTAGTGGAGACAAAGGATTTGTATTTGACACAGATAATTTAATGAAATGTTTTTGTGTCAGTAACAGCTCATAGTTATGATTCTGTTTAACTGAAACAATTTTCTGTGTTGTTGAACTGACTAAAGTAATATTGTTTAAATCTAGTTTCTGGTTTTAGTTTCTGTAAAAATGATGGTATACATACAGCACTACATTAGTGTCCATAGAGACTAAAGATAAAGTGTAATGATTATATCACACATTTATTTTTAACCACTTAACAAATATTTGGGTACTCATTCATACTAGGCATTGCATTAGTGCTCCATATTATAATTTTTCTACTTTTTATTTTTTAAACTAAACATTTTAGGAGCATCTGCTAGATTTCCCTACATGCCCTTTGTTTTGAGCTATCATTTAATTTAGTTCCCTTTATGGTATTTTATATAATAACTACTCTTGAATTTTTATTGTGGTAAAAGTTAGCTTTTAGGAACTTGGAGGAAGAAGCGTTTATGAGTTTAGTGTTTTGCCATTCTGGAGGTCTTAGTGGTTCTTTGTTGGCTAACTAGCTTTGAAGGTATGGCCTAGATTGCCATAAATGATGTCCATTGGTTCTAGGTTATTTGAAATTCTTTATGGTGCCCGGCCCTTGAGAGAGATCGGTGGATTTAGGTATTAACAGATTTAATTTAATAATGTAATGAAGACTTAAGTACTAAAATGAGTGTATGATGCCCCCTCTCCATTTGTTCAATTACAAAGTCACTTTAATTGAAAACAAATGAGCTAGAAAATTGCATTTTATGTTTTCTTATACAGGTAAAGAGAGACCTGTTCAGTCTTTAAAAACATCAAGAGACACTTCACCCTCAAGTTCTTCAGCAGTTCCTTCATCAAAGGTTTGTTATATTTTAAAAGTTAATTTAAAGAGGAATTACAAAATAAATGAGATGGATTGTCTGGTACAGATGCTTTTATTCTTTACTGTCAAACTTAATGAGGGTAATTTGCTGCATTTAAAAACTTGAATCTTAAGTAACCACAACTTGAAGGTAGCTATCAGAATAAATGAACAGTTTTCTTGAAGACTTTTTCCATAGATTATGCTAAAATTAGTACTTACTGCAGCCATTGCTCATCTTGACCATAACAAGGTGGGGATGAATATTCACATAGGGCCCATATGATGGACTATGTTTTTATTTTGAGAGGGGTAAGGCAGAGACCTAACATTTATTGTAAAACTACTGGATTCTAGTTAATATATTAAATATTTTTTTTCTCTTATTCATACAGAAATTCTATGGTATAAGTAATTATAGATCTCCCATTTTATAGAAAAGGCTCAGAAGTTAAATAATTTCCTCAAATTATTTCACGGTCAAATTCATATATTTAAAGAATATTAATCCTTCTCAAACTCTTCTAAAAAATAGAAGAGGAGGAAATACTTCATTTTGAGGCCAGTATTACTTTTATACCAAAACTAGACAAGAACACTACAAGAAAAAAAATTATAGGCCAATATCTCTGACGAATGTAGATATGGAAATCTTCAACAGAATATTGCGAAACCAGTTTCAATAGCACGTTAAAAGGATCATACACCATGATTATATGGGATTTATTCCAAGGATACAAGGATGATTCATTACCCACAAATCAAGCAGTGTGATATATCACATCAACAAAATGAACGAAAAAAATATATAATCTCAATAGATGCAAAAAAAAAAAAAAAGCATTTGTCAATATCCATTCATGATAAAACCTCTGAACAAACTGGGTATAGAGGGATAGTACCTGAACATAATAAAGGCCTGATATGACAGACCAGAGCTAAAACATCATACTCCATGGTGAAAAGCTGAAAACTTTCCCTCTAAGATCAAGAACAAGACAACTGGCCCACTCTTGTCACTTCTAACCAACACAGTACTGGAAATCATAACCAGAACAGTTAGGCAAGAAAAAGAAATTAAAAAACATCCAATTTGGGAAGGGAGAAGTAAGACTTTTTTTTTTAAACAGGTGACATTACATTATATATAGAAAACTCTTAAAGATGCCACCAGAAAGCTGTTAGAACTAATAAAATTCAGTAAAGTTGCAGGATACAAAATCTATGCAAAAGTTGTACTTCTATACACCAACTACAAACTATAAAAAAGAGAAGTTAAGAAAATAGTCCCATTTACAGTAGCATCAAAAAGAATAAAATACTTAGGAATAAATTTAGCCAAGGAGGTGAAGTACCTTTACACTGAAAACTGTAAAACAGTGATGAAAAAGTTGAAGTCACACAAAAACATGAATAGATATTCCATGCTCATGGACCGGAAGAATTAATATTGTTAAAATGTCCGTATCACCCAAAACAATCTACAGATTCAGTGCAATCCTTATCAAAATACCACTGGTATTTTTCACAGAACTAGAACAAATACATTTGTATGGAACCACAGAGACTCTGAGTAGCCAAAGTAATCTTTTCTTTCTTCTTTTTTTTTTTTTTTTTAAAGAGAGCATGTGTGCACGTGCCCATGAGTGCAGGTGGGAGGGAGGGGCACTGGGGGGAGGGGCAGAGGGAGAGAGTGGGATAGAATCTCAAGCAGGCTCCACACCCAGAGCAGAGCCTGATGTGGGGCTCCATCTCATGAACCGTGAGATCATGACCTGAACTGAAATCAAGATTTGGGTGTTTTAACTGACTGAGCCACCCAGGCATCCCTGTTTTTGGTTTTGGTTTTGGTTTTGTTTTGATTTGTTTTGTTTTGTTTTTTAAGCCAAAGCAGTCTTGGGAAGAACAAAACTGGAGGCATCACACTTTCGGGTTACAAACTATATTACTAAGCTGTAGTTATCAAGACAGTATGGTATTGATATAAAAACACACAGATCAATGGAACAGAATAGTGACCTCAGAAATAAACCTGTGCACATATGGTCAATGAATACAGTGGGGAAAGGACAAGTCTCTTCAGTAAATAGTTGTGGGAAAACTGAGTAACCAAGTTCAAAATAATGAAACTGGACCCCTATTTTACATCACAAATGAAAATCAACTCTAAGTGCCTTAAAGACTTGAAGGTAAGACCTGAAACCATAGAAGATATAGAAGAAAACATAAGTGGTTAGTTCTTTGACATCAATCTTGGCAATGAGTTTTTTGGATTCAACGCAAAAGCAAAGGCAGCAAAAGCAAAAATAAACAGGTAGGATTAGTTCAAACTAGCAAGCTTCTGCACAGCAAAGGAAGCCGTCAGCAAAATGAAAAGCCAACCTAAAGAATGGTAGAAAATATTTGCAAATCACATATCTATATGATAAGGAGTTATTGTGTAAAATACAGAAAGACCTTATACAACTTAACAGAAAAAAAAAAAAAAAAAATGAAAGAGTCCAGGTAAAAATTAAGCAGGGGTGCCTGGATGACTCAGTCAGTGAAGCATTCAACTTTAGCTTGGATCTCACAGTCTATGAGTTCAAGCCTTGTGTCAGGCTCTGCTGACAGCTCAGAAGCTGGAGCCTGCTTCAGATTCTGTGTCTCCCTCTCTCTCTGCCCCTCCCCCACTTGTACTCTATCTTTCTCTCAAAATTAAATATTAAAAAAATTGAAAAAATTCAACAGAGGAACTGAATAGACATGTTTTCCAAAGAAGACCTACAAATGGCCAGCAGTAATCACATCACTAATTATGTGGGAAATGCAAGTCAAAACTATAGTGAGATACCATCTCAACACCTGTCAAAATGGCTGTTATCAAAAAGATGAGATAACAGTTGTTATTGAGGGTATGGAATCCTTGTGCACTGTTGGTAGTAATGTAAATTAGTGTAGTCACTATGGAAAATACTACGGAGATTTCTCAAAAAAATAGAAATAGGACTATCATTTGATCCAGAAATCTCACATCTAGGTATTTATCCAAAGATAATGAAAAGAGGATCTCCAATGCTTTTCATTGTAGCATTATTCATAGTTGTCTAGACCTGAAAACAACCTAAATATCCTTCCACAGATATATGAATAAGAAAGATATAGTACATCTACCTAGTAGAATATATTCAACCATGAGAAAGGGCATCCTGACATTTGTGACAAAATGGATGGACCTTGAGGGTAATATGCTAAAAAGCCAGGTGCAGAAGGTCCAAGTGCTCTATGATATCATTTAAATGTGGAATCTAAAACAACCGAATTCATAGACACTGACTAGAAGAGTGGTCAGATACCAAAAAAGTGGGGATAGGGCTGGGGGGAAAAGGTGAGATGTTGCTCAAGAGTACGAACTTCCATCTATATAATGAATAGGTTCTGGGGATCTAATGTAAAGCATAATGATTATAGTTTATAATAATACTGTATTATAGAAGTACCTGGGTGGCCCATTTGGTTGAGCGACTTTTGATTTCGGCTCAGGTCATGATTTTCTAGTTTGTGGGTTTGAGCCCCTCATTGGACTCCACACTGACTATGGGGAGCTTGCTTGGGATTCTCTCTCCCTCCCTCTCCTCATCCCTTCCCTGTTTGTATGTGCGCTCTCTCAAAATAAATAAACTTAAGAAAATAATACTGTGTTAAATACTTAAAATTTGCCAAGAGATCTTAAATATCCTTAGCACAGAAAGAAATGGTAATTATGTTACAGGATGCAGGTGTTAACTATTGATATGGTTGTAATTATTTTGAAATTAAAAAGTAGGTATATATCGCCATTTTATGGAAAAGTCTCAGAAGTTAAATACTCTTCTCAAGAACATAGCTACACCTTACTACATTATTCTCCTCATTCCTACCTTCTCAGCTTCCCAAAACATGTTGAACACATGATCCATGGTTCTAATCCTCAAAATTTCCTTTTTCCATCTATTCTCAGCCGTTAGGAGATCTCTTCCCCAACCTCATGTTTTCTTTCTGTAACAGTTGTTCCTGTATTCTCTTCGTTCTTCACTTTTTGGCTTTCCTGTCTTTGGTATACTTGGCTTTTCAGCAAGAGTAGACATCACCTGGCAGTGTATGCTGGTATTCAGGGGGCAGCTGCTTCACTGCCTCAAAGGAAAAAAAAAAAGAAAAAGAGAAGAAGATGTCTTTGTGACAACTTATGCCTTTAGAGCTTTCCCAGAAGTCTGAGGATTCTAGAATCCTGGTTTTGAATAGGTAAAATTGATTGGAGTTTGGGCTCTGCCTCACCATGTCAAGGTGCTTTATGTCCCTAAAAGCCTAGCTTGTTTTTATTGTCAAGTAGAAATGAAAGAAGTATAAATAGAGACCATCCAGGTCTCTCTGAATATTTAAATTATGACATATGAAATACTTTTCTGAACTATAATGTAATGTAAATATAAGTTACAACATAGGACTTTGTGGTACATATTAAAATATATTTAGTGGGAAGCAACCATAATGGATTTTAGATATTTTTGACAGTTTCAGTAGATGTTTGCATCTTTGTCTTAAAATAGATTCAGGCTTTTAGAGTTTTAGATCTATGATCATCATAAGTGTTGGGAAAGTACAGCCTCCCCTGTATTCCTTGCCCAAGGTTACATAGTAGTTGTGGGACACTTTTACCTAGATTCTCTGATTTGGTGGACAGCTTTTTCTTCTAAACATTATGGCTGCCCTCATGTAGGAATAATTTTTCAGAGTTTATTTCTTGCTGTTATAAGTTCATTTCAAATGAAAGTTTTTCAGGTGTACAGATTGAATGAAAGGTGAATAAAAGGATTCAGCTATACAAGATTTTGCTTCTATCTTTACAAGAGAGAGTTTACAATGTGTGCTTAATTTTTCTCTGTAGCTTTCTTTTCAAAACAGATATCAAAAAAGTGGGGCATAAATTTTTTCTTTGATACATTCATATATGTATGGTGTTTTTCTTCTAACTTTGTTTTAACTTTTTAACCTTATTACTAAGTAATAATAGAAGTATTATTTACACCTTTTTAACATTATGTGCAAGCAAGGCTTTGGAGTAAGATATTTAGGCTTCTGCAGTGGCTGTGGAAACACTACATGTCCATACACTGTTTTTGTCTTTCAGTAAATATTATGGATGTCCAGCTAGTAGTTTTGTGAATGAATAAGCTTTGGAAGGAGGTCAGGGAGCTTTTTCATAAGTTTCAGCTTAGCATTTACTGGTAACTGGGACAATAACTATCTTTTGGGGGCGCCTGGGTGGCTCAGTTGATTAAGCGTCCAACTTCAGCTCACGTCATGATCTCACAGTTTGTGGGTTCGAGCCCTGTGTCGGGCTCTGTGCTGACAGCTAGCTCAGAGCCTGGAGCCTGCTTCACGTTCTGTATCTCCCTCTCTCTCTGACCTTCCCCTGCTCACGCTGTCTGTCTCATAAATAAATAAAAAAAACATTTAAAAAAACTATCTTTTGGACATTCGGTTTCTTGATTTATAAGTTGGGGTTAGAAAGTCTGCCTTAATCACCTCCGTGGAATTCCATTTAATTAAAATACTTTTACGGGTTTGCATATAGAAGCACCTTATAAATGACGTATACTCTAAAGTAGAGATTTTTAACACCACTGTCATCCCGAGGAAGGATGTTTGGAATTAACATGACTTCAGAGAAGAGGTGGAGACAAAATTAGAGGTGAAAGATGTAGTCAATAAAAATATATCCTAATAAAATAGAATGGAGGCAGAGGTACCATTTGGGCCCAAGGAAACAATTTTTCTAATTTTTGGCTTAGAATTTTTTTTTTTTAAATATTTAATTTGAGAGAGAGCGTGAGTCGGGGAGGGGAGAAAGAGAATCCTAAGTAGGCTCTATGCTGTTAGCATAGAGCCCAACATGGGGCTTGATCTCACAAATGATGAGATCGTGACCTCATGACTTGAGCCAAAATCAAGAGTCAGATGCTTAATGCACTGACCACCCAGGTGCCCCTTTGGTTTAGAATTTTTATATCTTAGTCTATAACATAGGTCTGTAAACAGTATTGCGGGAATCAGATGATCCAGAAAAAAACAATTTATTTTCTTCACTTTTTGTATTGACCTCATGAACTGATTGATCTTCTTCAAATGTTTTACTCTAACTGATTTGTAACAGTGAATGTGGAAAAGAAAGGAAAACTGTAGTACCAATCACTATGCTAGGTACTGTAAGGTCTGTTACTTCTCTTGATTCTCACAACTACTTTGTAAAACAGTGAATATTATTAATACCAATTTTGTAAACATGGAAACCAAGGCTTCACAGTGTCATAAATTATGCATATAAAGTCATGTATCTAGCAAGTGATGAAGCTGGCATTCATATCCTGTCTGTAACTCTAAATTCCAAATACATTATTTAGTATTGTATATGCTTGAAGAAGCGAAGCAGTAGAAGTATCAAAACACGAAATTTAAGTGAATAAATTTTGTGTAAAGTACGATTTATATAAATTATTATAAATTATGAAAATGGCATATCTGACTTTTCTATTGCATTAATTAGGAATTTACCTTGATTACATTTTGACATTATTTCATTGAATATAATTAAAGATACAAAATTGAAATCAGTATGATATCCAGTATATTTCAAATACTATTGGTATATTATCTTCTGTTCCTTAAGATGAAGTTTTAAAACTTTATGTAAATGAAATTGAGAGTCAGATCTACTCTATATGTCCAAAAGGAATTCTCCTTAGAGAAAGTCTGTGTTGAATATTTTTGAAAAAGCATATAAAGAATGTACTTGTTCTCTGTATAAATTTGGAGGCTTATATAATTCTAAGTTAAGTGGGATGTACCTCCTGATGTATTTGAAGTTTAAATGCTTTTGTGGATCATAATAGAACTGTACTTCTGTTTTTATTAGGTGTTAGACAAACCTAGTCGGCTAACCGAAAAGGAACTTGCTGAGGCTGCAAGCAAGTGGGCTGCTGAAAAGCTGGAAAAGGCAGATGAGAGTAACTTACCTGAAATTTCTGAATTTGAGGTAAGGCATAATGTCCCCTTTATGTTTTACATAAAGAGTTTTGTCTGAATTTTAAATTAAACCAAGGGAAATCCTTGGTTTGTTCTAGTTCTTCAAAATACATATGGGGAAAACATGCTCATTAACGTACCACCGAGAGTAATAATATGATTATTAATGACTCTGTGTTCAATAATTGTACTATACCTGAATTTCTCTGTTAGTTTAGAAGTGAGAAAATAGTATAAATACGGAATATAAGGAAAATGGCATTATTAAACGCTTCTTTTATGGGTTTTCCTGTTAAAAGTATCTCTAGAAATCATGCTAAGCTGCTAGTCATAAACCAGCAAATTCAGAACAAAAATCTATTAGACCTTTGATCTTGGGCTGTATTTATACTGCATGCTATATTCTATGCAAATTGTCTCATAAATATCCCCCAAAATGAAATTATTCATTGTTGGGTTACCTATGACCTTTGGTGAGTCTTGAGTACCAAAAGATGAGAGCATTTTTGGGTCCATAGAATACAGTTCATTAATCTTTGCATTAAAATACTTGGAAATGAACTCAAACTTTTCTGTATAACTTGTAATCTCTCTAGTAGGGGAAATATAGATGTTTCATTGGCAAAATTAAGCTTTTCGATTCAGGTATTGGTCTAAAATTATTTTGGCATGATCAGCAGAAAATATAAAAATCTCTGTACCATGACAATGATGTAGATATGAAAATTTTTGACTTTTCAATAAATTTTAAGATACCTTTTATTAGAAGTTTTTTTGATAAAATTGGTCAAGCATTGGAATTTTATATAAAACTCATATACCTACATACATCTTTATGTACCTATAAAAATTTTTTCCAAAGTAATAATGTACAGTGCTTATAGAAAGTACAAACCAGGGGCACCTGGGTGGCTCAGTCAGTTAGTTAAGTGTCCGACTTCAACTCAGGTCATGATCCCAGTCTGTGAGCTTGAGCCCCGCATGAGGCTCTGCACTGACAGCTCAGAGCCTGGAGCCTACTTCATATTCTTTGTCTCCCTCTCTGCCCCTCCCCTGTTCACACTCTGTCTCTCTCTCAAAAATAAAATAAAAACATAAAGTTAAAAAAAGTACAAACTACTATAGATCCTATTAGTACTTACACAAATAAAGCCTTTCATTTTTCAATTGCTGATTTGTCATTTAGATATCAATTGTTCTTAAATAGGTCAAGGTTTTCTTGTTATTGTACCTATAATAATAGCTATTTGTATGTATTCTTTGTTTTGAGAGAGAGAATGCATGCATGTGAGTGTGCAGGGGAGAGACAGAAGGAGAGGGAGAGAGAGAATCTTAAGCAGGCTCCATGCCCAGCTCAGAGCCTGACATCTGGACTTGATCTCAGGACTGTGAGATCATTACTTGGGCTGAAATTAAGAGTCAGACACTTACCTAACTGAGCCATCCAGGAGCTCCTATACATATTCTTGAGTGAATATATTTCAACATGATCTAGCTGTCGCTTTTTGGTACCTTTTCAACACGATTTTAAAGCATGAACAATAAAGTAATTTAATAAGGCGATTTTGTTTACATTCTTTAATAATGAAAATGGTGGGTTTTATATTATCAAGAGATAATATCTGAGATTTCTTTATTATGTTTGTTACGTGGTGTACATCATTAATGTTTTTTTGAAAAGACTTAAAATTTATTCATTTTTGAGAGACAGAGTGTGAGTGGGGTAGGGAAGAAGACAGAGAGAGAAGACAACAGAATCCAAAGTAGGCTCTAGACTCTGAGCTGTCCGCACAGAGCCCAGTGTAGGGCTTGAACTCACTGACCATGATACATCATGAACATGAGCTGAAGCCAGCTACTTAACTGACTGCACTACCCACGCGCTCCCATCGTTAATTTTGACTTGAGCAGCAGCATCAATTTCATAGCCCTGTCTAAATGTTTTTCAAGTTATCGTGACATTTTCTTATGCTGGAAATAAAGTAGCTTGGAAATTTTTATGATACTGACTGTTGTTCTTTTATTTATAAACATAATCCCATGGGACATCTGGGTGACTCAGTTTGTTGAACAATGGACTCTTGATCTCAGCTCGGGTCTTGATCTCAGGATCATAAGTTCCAGCCCCACATTGGGCTCCACACTGGGTGTGAAGCCTACTTAAAAGAAAAAGTCATTAAACAAAAAAAACTTAATCCCACCAATCTTATTAAGGTTTTGCTTAGATAGCAACATCTGTTTTCAGGCCGTTGTTAAATAGTTACTCATTTCAGTGGTCTGTGCTTTTTGAGAAATAAAATTTTTTTAATTAAAGTTTTTTTTAGGTTTATTTATTTTGAGAGAGAGAGAGAGAGAGGGAGGGAGAGAGAAAGCACAAGTGGGGAAATCCAGAGAGAGAAGAAGAAAGAGAATCTCAAGCAGGCTCTGCACTGTCAGTGCAGACATGGGGCTTGAACCCGGGAACCATGAGATCATGACCTGAACCGACTAAGCCACCCAGGTGCCTTAAGAAATAAAATTTTGACTTTAATTTTTTAAACTCCTATCTGATTAGATAGAATAAACTAGAAGGAAAAAAGGGCTTTGATGCTAAGAAAGACATTGGCATAGTATTCTGTATGTGTGTTTAAATGTAGCTGTGACAGTATTTTTATTTATAAAATTCATTCCTTTAAGATTTTATTTTATTTTTAAGTAATTTTTACACCCAATATGAGGCTCAAACTTAGAAGCCGAGATCAAGAGCCCCTCCTCACTCTAACTAAGCCATCCAGGTGCTCCTTTATGTTAGTTATTTAAGTAATGGTCCATGTACTTCAGAAACATTGTGTGGATTCACTTTTATGACTGGAGAGAGATGAAATATTTAGCTTTCCAGTTTATCTTCTCTTGGTGCTATGAATATAGTTTTATGCAGTTCGTTTGAGAGACCATGTAATTTACAGAAAGTTTAGTGAAATTGAAGATACATTTAGTGACATGCTTAAATATTCAGGAATATTGTAATTCAATCTGCTGTTCAGTTTTACACTTTTACCTTTTGGGCTCTAATAGAGAATTTCCCAAAGTATTTGATAGGATAGTAGTTCTAAAGCGTCTTAATGATCTGAGGGGAAGAAAATACTCTGTTAGCTAGTGTGTTTGGGAAATGCTAGATTTGAAAGAGGTAGGTTAGGGGCACCTGGGTGGTTCACTCTGTTAAACATCTGACTCTTGATTTTGGCCTGCAGTTCTTGGGTTTGAGGCCTGTGGGTTCAAGCCCCAAGTCTGACTTAGCACCATTGGTGCAGAGCCTGCTTGGGATTCTCTCTCTCCTTTCCTCACTCTCTGCCTCCCCCGCTTGCACTCTCTCACTCTCTCTCAAAATAAACTTAAAAAAAAAAAAAAGGTTATTTTGATATTGCAACACTTTTCAGAGATTTAAATATGTTAATATGCTCATCAGTGGTCTGTGAAAGGAAGATGGATAATAAAATTTGCATAATTTAGCAGACTTGACGATGAAATTTTTCACAGTGCATATTTTAGGAGTAGTATTTTAAGTTACATATTTTCAGAAAATAATTCCATACTGGCTTTCTCATAGTTGATTGAAATTCACTAAGTATTCATTCTGCATCTACTTTTGTCAAACACTGCATTAGAGACACTATCCTAGCTGTCTAGCTTACAGTCAAGTTTTGTAGAGACATAATTTACCATCCTCAAACAAATGGCCACTAGAGTTTAGCTTTTGGCTATCAGAATGAAAAGCAAATTACTTGGAGGCTCTTAGAATGCCCCCGTAGAACAGTTGCTTCTTCCTATAGAAGAAAATTTTGACTTTTTTTTTACTTAAATGTGAAAATATGATTTATGTTGTGTCCTCATATAAAGTGTCATTTTCTACTTAAATATCTCTGCTTATTCTTTCTCCACTGTAGAATACCCATCTTTAATAGCTCTCTTTCAAATTCATATCAATTCAGTTGAATCAGTAGTGTTTGAGATAAGACTCAAGATCTTTCTTCCCGTTCGTATTTAAAATTTTATGCTGCTGCTTTGGTCACTGAGGAACTTATTATTGCCCTTATTAAAAATACTGTTTTTACTTGTTAAATATACACTGAATGCATCTCAAGCACTTGTTTTCCCTCTATAGTACCTTGAATAATATATACATAAAATTATATAATTATATAATTTGTTAATAAGCCCTTTTAGTGTCAGTTTATCTTTTTTCTTTTCTAAAAACACATATCTGCTCTGATGTACTTTCTATGCTCATCAATTTATATTTTTGTGTGTAGGCCTAGAAATATTATAAATTAGAGCCTGAAATTTCTATTTTCTGTGTGTTTTAAATTTCAACAGTTGGGGTTTTTTTTTGGTTTTGTTTTGTTTTTTTGCATTAACTTAACTAAAATGGAATATAGTGGCAGATTTTGATTTTGGGGTTTAGTCAGAATACTGGTAGTATAAGTAATTCAGTTCATTCAAATCTAATTGTTAACCTGGTGTTAGAAAACTGATACTGATACGGGGATTTCTGTCTTAAATACATAAAAATTACCATCTGAATCATTGTTAAGTGTATACTTCAGTGGTATTACATACATCAGTATTATTGTACAGTCATCCTCACCATTCATCCTCATAACTCTTTTCACCTTGTGAAACTAAAACTATACCCATTAAATGATAACTCCTCAAAGCATTTTATCAAATTATTCTCCCAGGCCCTGGCAACCATCATTATGCTTTTTGTCATTAAGATTTTGACTACTCTAAGTACCTCATGTAAGTGGTTCATACAGTATTTGTCTTTTGTGATTGGCTATTTCATTTAGCATGATGTCTTCAAGGGTCATCCGTGTTATAGCTTATTACAGTATTTCCTTCCTTATTAAGGGTGAATAATATTCCATTCTGTATATGCCCCACATTTTGCTTTTCCACACATTTGTCAGTAGACATGTGGGTTGCTTCTACATTTTAGCTTTGTGAATACTGCTCTGAGCATGGGTATAC